CCCCCACTTTTAAAGAGTTATTGCAATAATATCTTTGAAGTGAAAAGAAAGACAGTTTCACACCCACACCCACACCCACACCCTGGGGGAGGAGAGGGAGACGTTAGACCTGCAAGTGTAGTAAAACTGAGGTGTGCGGACCAAGGCCTGGACCGACCACTGAAACCTACACCTTTTTATGTGGACGTTTTTTAAACCTGTCTTATTTCTATTTCACGTTATCTTTTATTTCCCCATTGTTTTATAAACACACCGTCCGTTCTGTCAGGTCCAAGAAGAAGACGCTCAAACCCCAACACGTGGTTTGATTTGTTGAACCATCAACTCTCTGATTGATGAAGGACTGTGTGTTTTCTGCTTCCTCTGAAGCTACAACTGGACCACACAGAGATTCCTGCCCGACTCTCTGGCTTCCACGGATGTTGACATGGCAACCATAAACCCTCGCAAAGCACAAATTCTGGCAGTGAGGCTGAAAATACTCGGTCCATCTCACCACGTTCATGTTCACGCTGTGGTTTTTTAAAGCTGGATTCACAGGTGTGTGTGTGTAAAAGTCCGACATGTGACCATTAATGATTTGTATAAATCAAAAAACTAAAATATTTAAAGATCAATATTTTTTTATTTCTGGGAAATAGAATATTAAAAAAAGGTGGTTGTTCATCCTGTGTGGCGTTCAGGATTCTAAAGTGTAGGGACAAAACAGAGCTGCTCTGTTTTTGGACATTTGCAAATGTTGACACTTTTTAGCCTCCAAATACAGACGTTTGGCCTGAACTGAGCCTCACAGGAGACACGGCCAAAGTTACACAAAATACACCAATGACACCAATGCAGCGTGGCCTCAGACCTCAGCACGGCCTGAGTCTGGTTCTGCTGAGCTGGACTTGTTAAAGCACAGATGGAACTGGATCAAACGCTCTCGCTCTCTCACTCGCTCTCTCTCTCTGTGTGACTTCATTTTTGTGACCTTTTTGGCACAAACACTGACCTTGTAAGAATCAGCATTTCTCATAGGAAAACATTGACATTGACTGTTGGTCCTTTGACTTTTGTTTAGAGTTTGGTCCTCACTGTTCCAGCTCAGGGTAGAACAAACACTTCAACACACCAATCAAATGTAAAGTCAATGTCCTTTAAAGAAGAGCTGTGGAAACCTGTGTGTGTGTGCTGTAAATATGTGTGTGGGTTTCTTCTGTGCCTTGTTGACATGTGTGCTCACCAGCAGTGATGGTGTCCTTCTCTTTGGCGTTGTACTCCTCCACCTCTGCTCTTCGACGCAGCTCAAACCTGCGGGCGTGGCCTTCTCTGGGCTTCCAAAGCTCCTGGAGCAGCAACGGCTTTTCATTGTCCCCCAGTGCACGCAAGCACTCCGTCCTCCAACCCCCACCTTCTATTCCACCTCCACCCTCCAGCCGGCCAATGACATCACAAAGGACATAAGAGTGGGCAGCGTCCTTGTTGAGGGAGTAACGCTCCAGTGCCTCTTTGACCAGCTCCTGGGCACTGGAGCGTGGCGTGGCCAGTACGCTTTTGTAGTTGGCACCGGCACAGATTTCATCTCCGAAAATCTTCAGCACCCCAGGTGCCGAGCTCTGTGTGGAGAGTTCAGCGGGGTCGTCTGTCGGCCGCTCAGGGGGTTCAGTCGTAGAGCGTCGATCCCCACGAGTGTTTGTTCCGGCTTCTGCTTGAACTCGGTCTCTGTAACTCAGAGTACGGTACAGGACCTGGAGAACATTTCAAACATTAGTTCTTGGTTGGCTCATTTGAAGATCTTTCCCACATCCACATCTGTGTTTTCCGTTAGCTCCACCGTCATTAACTCACTGTATGATCAGAAAGTCGACCAGAGCTCTCAAAAAAAGGGAACTTTTCTTATTCTGCTATTTGAAATTAAGAAAAAAAAAATCTTTCTGAGAAACTTTCCCATAACTTTCCTTAGATTTTATCAGAATATTTTTCATAAACATTTTCAGAATCTTTTGGAGATTGTTGTTGAATGTAAATTTTCCGTGTCATTTTTGATCAAAAAAAAAGAAATTATGATGAAAATCTTTATAAAATTATTTTTTTAAAACATTATCTTTTTCTGCATGTTTTTCATAAAATTAGGGCATTTAGAGAACAGTTTTAGAAATATTTTTGTATAAAGCTTTCTGTCAAAATGTGAATTTTTTGTCGTTTCTGGTCAAAAACTAAAAAAATCACAAAATTTGTTGTAATTTTGTAAAATTTTTTATAGATTTTTTCACGATGGTAAGGCTATAGTAAGGCGTGTTTTGGGTGATTTTTTAAATATTCATATAAAATATTTTTTGGACTTTTAAACACAAAATATTCACCTGGCAGCATGTTTTAGGACCTAATCTTTGTGATTATTTTATAAGTGATTATTTTGTGTTTTAAACCCCAAAAAGTAATTTATAAGAATATTTCAAAAATCACCCAAAACACGCCTTACTATAGCCTTACCATCGTGAAAAAATCCATAAAAATAAAAAGTCCCCAAAATGCACTAAAATGCAAGAGTAGGTCCTAAAACATGCTGCCAAGTGATTATTTGGTAAGGCTATAGTAAGGCGTTTTTTCAATGATTTTTGAAATATTCATATAAAATACTTTTTGGGGTTTAAAACACAAAATAATCACTTATAAAATAATCACAAAGATTAGGTCCTAAAACATGCTGCCAAGTGATTATTTGGTAAGGCTATAGTAAGGCGTTTTTTCAATGATTTTTGAAATATTCATATAAAATATATTGGGGGTTTTAAACAGAAAACATTTTGACAAAGATTTTTGTGAAATTATTTGTAAAAATGTTATCTTTTCCTGCTTGTTTCTTATAAAATTAGGGCATTTAGAGAACATTTTTAGAAATTCTTATTTGCCTTAATACATAGCATGTGTCCATTTTCGTGGTTAAAATTTAGAAAAAATATATTTTTTGAAGGACAACCTTTGATCCAAACCATTGTTCCACATAAACAGAATTCTGAAAAAGTCTTAAAAAATCATTTTCACCAAAGTCATTATAAAAAGTACTGAAGGCTCCTTTACCTGAGTGAGGGTCCTGCTCTGGCGTTTGAGGCGGCTCTTGGACGGCAGGGACATACTTGTCCCAGAAGAGGAACCGTAGAACATAATGACGATAATCAACTACGCAAAGATAAGAAACCAGAGAAACATGTCAGTTTGTCTGAATTCATACAGTGATCATGGAACATGCAGTTGAGGCACATACCAAGAGGCTGCAGTGGTGAAGAGGCAGGAGTCCTGTCTGTTTTGCAGAAAGTTCAGGGTACAATTCCTCCTAGTTCCCCAAAGCCAGCATGAAGTGCATCAGGCAAATCGGGATTCTGATTCTGATTACCGCTAAGGTGACCCCTGGAGGGAAAGGGTTTTTGGCAAAATTAGATGCAATTTTACATTTTGATGCACATTTTGCATATAACAGCATTTTGGGCAGTTATTTAGACATTTTTCACAAAAACAATGGTGGAGTAGTGTAGGTATGGACAAATCTTTACTTATCAAAATATGAAAGGTTTGACATTTAAATCCCAAATTACACACCCTGGTGCACACTGTTTTATTCACCAACTTTCTAGTAGTCTGCTGTATTTGTTCAATTTTAAAAATGAGATTTTCTTTTTACGAACTCATGGTATGTGGTCATTTGGTTACATTTGTAGTAAACTTTTCAGTGGCCCCACAGACGGTGAACTCCTCAGACCTCATCGGGTTTTACTGCAGGTGAAACGCCCGTGTGTGTCTGCCGCAGGTTCACGATGTTGTGTTTGGTGTCGGACAAACACGACGGCTGTCCAGCAGAAATGAGGAAGTGAACGCTGAAACGGTTCTAGCTGATGCTGCAGGAGCTGCTGGGATAACGTGACTATTTTAAATGCCCGTTAATCCGCAGTAATCTGGCTACTTGGCCACAGTTAACTCAATCCTGGGAGCAACAAACCCCCGCTACAACTGCGCAAGGAAAGAAACACACAGACAAAAGTAGCCTGGGCCTCGTTAGCATTGATTAAAAAGGGGGGGGGGGGGGATCTCTGTTTAAAAAAAAAGAAAAACTATAGAGTCCTTTGACAAAGGTAAGGTCAAAGTAAAGAAAATGACATTTTTACATTATTTTAGCTGAAACCATTTGGTGTCCATTTTTAGTTGTTTTTAACGTTTTAACATTGACCATAAATAAGATCGTGTTGATGTTGAAAGGCCGCGCTGAGCTCCGAGCATCACGTCCCGTCGGCCTTAACGTAGCGGTTTTTACCAGGAGAAAAAGTCGTTGTTCTTGAGGTGAATGTGTTGAAGCAGGAAGAGACAGAATTATGAACAAAAAGACAGTGAAAGAAACAGGAAATAAAAACTCTCTATTGTTCTGTGTCTGAATGTTGAACGAACGTTTTTTCTTTTTTGTTCTTCCGTTTGTCTTGTTGTTTTTATCCACACCTTTGAATTTGAACTGGATCTGGACCCAGACTACAAACACAACAGTTGTAGTTGTAGTTCGGCTCCTTACATTGGCTACGATGTCACGTGATCTTTAAACGGTAAACATCTAAATAAAATACAACACATTTTACAATCTTCCGTCCAATCAATTGAATTGTGTTTAATTTAAACCGAATTCTTCTGATATTTGTCAGAACACACACTGCAGAGGAACATGGAACGAAGCCCAGGAGGAGGCGCTGTTATCTTATTTTTAACAAATATTAAACTTGTTGTTTGGTTTGTTGATTGAACGATTCGATACATCGACTCACTTACTTCACGTCAGACTCGTTCACACTCGTTTTTGACTCCAATCTCCGGCCTGTATTTATTTAGCGTCTGTTTACGACTCTCGTCGTCAGTGGCAACAAAAGGGGGGCTGGTGGACGAGGTCTGGGCAGAACCGAGTCCAGTGACGGTCAGCAGGTGTCAGGTGACCACAAAGGAGGTCACGCTCACCACAATCACGTCCGTAATCAATGAAGCTGGTCGGTTCCCTCCACACCTGACCGACGCTCAGCGCGTGATTAAACGTTGTTTTTTTTTTTTTGTTTTGTTTGTTTTTTTATCCCTAATAAAGGTGTGGTCGTAAATTAAAGGTCTCCTGGAAAAAGTTGGAAGTGCGATTCCTGGACTGACGAGCCCAGTCCCCTGTGTGCTCCCCCGGCTGTCTGTTGCGTTCATACTCACGCTGTCTGCAGTGCGTGGCTCCATGGTGATGGGGGGGACCCGGAGCTGGCTTCCCTCTCGTTCGTCCTCCTTTACAAAGGCAGAAAATCCCCGGTGCAGCGGGGGGAGAACACCCAGGGACCGGCAGCAGCTGCCCGACGCCTCCACACATACCCCCCAGGATAGTCCGTTAACTTGGAGCGCAGCCAGTCGTCGTGTGCTCCCGGGTCCGTGTGCACGTCCCCGCCGTGTGTCCAGCAATGTCCACTGCCTCCGCCGGCAACCGCATTCCCACATTCACAGCCGTTTACTGCCGAGTGTCGACGGAAAGAGCCGATCTCTCGGAGCTGGCGGCTTCACCTCCACGCACCTGCTCTGCTGCCCAAATTACGAAGAAGTTGGCGCCACCAGGCGGGCATATAGACGTACTACAAGAAAGGACTGTTATAAAAGAATTGATTATACTGTATTTATAATATATTTAATATACATTTGAAATCTCATTATACAACTATGACGTGTCTCCAACTTCAGGAATTCTGTCAAAGGACGAGATCATACATCAACATCAGAAAGACAAAAAACAAATTTGTTTCATACAATACGTTTTAAAAGGAATGTAGTATAAACTATTTTTGTGTAACTTTTCATGTTTATATATATTCTGAATTTATGAGTTCTTCTCTACAGAAACAGATGGATCACAGTGGTTTTCCATTATCCAGTCTGTCTTTTAAATATCTAATAAAACAACAGAACAGATACTGGTGTCATTTCCATTTTCAGTGGCTTAATTTGAATGTGTCGAGTAAAAATCCTTTCCAGTCATACACTGCATGAAAAAAGATTATTTTATTACAAGAAAAATAAAATAAAAAAAGATAAAAGCGGTGTTGGCATCATAAACACTGTCACAGCACAGAAGCACCACAGATACAGAAACCACAGGGACAGGAGGATTCTGGGTAATGATCTAAAGAGTGACCGTGGTCACCGGGTGTGTGTGGAGATCTGACCAGAGTCGAAACGAAACAGACAAATCAAAAAGGAGGGACTGGTGTACATTAAAGTACTGGAGTGTTTGAACCCACAACCGCTCTGGTCCTTCAACACCGTGACATCATCACCTGCTCCGCATCAAACGCTCACCTTAACTCAATCAATCAATCAATAAAATGCTTTCATAAATAAGTCAATATTGATCAAATAAATAAAATGACATTCATGAAGATAAGAACAAAGACTGTCTCGCCTCTGTCACCTGGGGAGGGAAACCAGGAAGTACACCTGAAAACACTGCAGCACGTTGTCACTTACACAGGCTGTGTGAAGACAATGAAGTTCCTGTTGTGTTTCAGTCCTACTGTAGTACACAGAGTACTGCTGTAGTACACAGAGTACTGCTGTAGTACACAGAGCGTACGATTGGGCCAGATTGTTCAACAACAGGTATAGCTTCAGTTTCCTCTAAACGTAAGAGCTTCCAGGGGGCGCTGTGCTGCGACTGACGGCAGGAGTTTCTGGTTTTCTGGCAGTGTTTGATCATACTGTAGTACACAGAGTCCTACTGTAGTACACAGAGTACTGCTGTAGTACACAGAGTCCTGCTGTAGTACACAGAGTACTGTTGTAGTACACAGAGTCCTACTGTAGTACACAGAGTACTGCAGTTGTACACAGAGTCCTACTGTAGTACCCAGAGTACTGCAGTAGTACCCAGAGTACTGCAGTAGTACACAGAGTACTGCAGTTGTACCCAGAGTACTGCAGTAGTACACCGAGTACTCTACTGGGAGGTTTCTAAACCAAACACCCTGAAAATGATCATTATTATGATTTGGTTTCATGTAAATTCTCCATATGAGACACTTGCAGATCAATTTTTGGGAATGTTGCCCCCTACTGGAGGAGGTAAAAAAGCAAATGAATCTGTATGAAGTAAGGCCAATATTTTTGGAAAGTACTTGACAGTTTTTTTTAAATCTCCACTGTTGCTTTAAAAATCACTGAGTTCATTTTTACAGGGCGTTTAAGTCAAAAAACAAAAAGAAACACAACCTGAGTGAAGAATCACAGCCACAGGAGCAGAGGGTTTATACAAATATATATCTGTATTTATATGAATATATGTATTTACATATAAACATACATGTATATACATGTATATATAAATATATATGTATATATATATATATACACATATATATAAATATATTCATTGGTCCATTCATCACGTTCATCACGTTCATCACGTTCACAAACAACGTTTCACAGCAGGACAACACTTACGTACAGAGCGCGAACATGGATTCATGTGTAAACATAGACTGGTGGATTTATGGTAGTCGGAGAATGGGAAGACACACACACACACACACACACACACATACACACAAGCACCTGTGTTCACACACACACACACACACACACCTGAGACGGCGTACGATTGGGCCAGATTGTTCAACAACAGGTATAGCTTCAGTTTCCTCTAAACGTAAGAGCTTCCAGGGGGCGCTGTGCTGCGACTGACGGCAGGAGTTTCTGGTTTTCTGGCAGTGTTTGATCAGAGAGCGGGTCTCCTGCAGCGAGGCCCGACCACAGACCTCCGTCAGATCAGTTCCCTCCACCACAGATGGAGGTGAAAATGAATGAAACACTGAGAGGTGAAGAAGGTCACGGTGATCATCGCCGGGACGATACGGTGCCGCGTAGATAAATATACATTTACTGTAGAAAATTGCACTTATGACATTTTCACTAAATCAAAAACAGAAAATATACCAGTTCCATAAATCCTCTAGATAGTCTGTCGAACACAGGAAGTGGAAGCACACGAGTCACGCGGTCAAGACTGAAGCCGTGAACGTCGGTCAACAGAAAACAACAACATCCACCGTTACTGCCATGCTCCACACACCGGAGTGGAACCAACAACCACCACACGGTTCATATAAAGAGCTCTGATCACTATGGTGAGTCACTCATGTCCAGGACGAATGACACCCTCTGGTGGACGGTGACAATACTTGTGTTAAAATGTCCTGGCACTGAATAACAAGGTCAGGTCACTTAAAG